CTCATGTTTTTATCAGATCTGACAGAAGAACGGATCATTCAAACACAGTCTAAACATAGAAGAGATTCTTCATGGTCTTATTTTGCTGATTTTAATGGCAATCAATGGTCAAAAGACCTAAACAAGAGGACTGCTTGCTTTTTATTTTGTATTCCTTAGATAGTCACCACTTGTAATAGCGTGAAATAACTTCTGGGGTTCCTCAGGGATCGATACTAGGGCACCTTCTCCTTTAGTTTGGTGCATTGTTCTGTCCACCAGTTGAATGTGTTTGCTATGTCACAACCTTTCTTGCAAAGGTATTTTCATTTCGCATCAGAACAAACGGCCTTCTCTCAGAGTAGTTTGCGCAGTAGTTGGCGCTATAGGCTAATCTCTACTCCAGTAAACAGAGGAGACATCTAACCATCTACAAAAAAATCTTCTTTTATTTCAGCTCTAACAATAAATGCTGACAAGCACATATATGTCAGCACCAACAGCTGATCAGTCATGTGACTTCAATGTCACAACTTATTCTGCAAATATAGCATCGAGTCTCGCAAATAACACTTTCCACATTTTCATTCTTTGCAGTTATCATCGACTTTTCTAATACGTTTCCTCAAAAAATACATTTCTGGAAACACGCTATTGTGATCGTGTCAGCATTAAGCTCAAAGCACTCTTAAAGGGGTCAAACTAAATGAGTTGGAGAACTAATGTGATGTTATTCCACCCACCTTCCTCCTCTCCTGGGCGGCGTCCAGCTTCTTCTGGATCTCCTCCAGAGAGGGCTTCTGGCGGGGGGGTGTGGTTGCTCTCAGCTCGGGGCCGCCGTCAAACGTTGGCGGCTTCAGGATGACTTCGAAGGCCTGGCCGCTCGAACGCTTGCTCAGCTCGATCACCTCCATGTGCCGGATGTTGCACAGGTTCAAGTCCACCACGCCCGCTGTAGAAAGAGATAGAAAATGCATAAATAAATCACTCGTGCAGCGAGAAGTTAAGACAGGGGTGTCCAAACTACGGCATGGGGGCCAAATGCGGCCCGGGTCCCATTTTGAATCAGCCCTCAGCCAATTCAGAAAGTATAATGGAGTATGGCCCAAAAATGAAACTTGTGCTTGTCTGATATTGTACTTCTTAAATATAGATGAAAACAGATATTACACAGTAGTATTCATGTGTTAATAAGCCCACTCTTCAAACAAATTCAGTCAAATAAAGTTGAAAACATCTTCTAACATATCTTAGTTGATAAGCAAAAAGCCCAAATACTTATTTACATAACCACCTTGAAATAGACCCTTCATATTTCTCCTTGTTCTAATCTATCTGAGGCTTAAGTTTTAAGGATGAGCTGTTAGCACAATAAATGAATCCCTATGGAAAGCTGTGATGTACGCAGTTTTTTCTTAACGCATATTCAAGTATTAATCATAATCGACCTACATTTGATTGATTTTGCTAACTTAATACGGAACTTATGAGGCAGTAAACCTCTAGTGAACGACTCAGCCCTTTGTATATTTTTCTGTATGTGGCCCACGGTGAAAAAAGTTTGGACACCCCTGAGCAAAGACTTTATCAGAAGTGGGAATGTCATTTTAAGTGTGAATATATTATTATTTTGTATATAATAAAGAGAGTTACTGACCTTCCTTCTTGTCCTCCGTGATTCTGGGTAGGATGCAGGAGCAGAAGAGAGACACCAGGGGGAGCTCTCTCAGCTTCTCTCGGTACGCTGCAGCCATTACAGGCAGAGAAGAAGAGTGAGACACTTTCAGTCACATTAACAAACAAGATACATATGATAATACATTTAAAATAAGATTATTGTAATATTAATGATAAAATAATATTATTATTACAAATAATAATAAATCATCTGTTCATTATTTAAAATAATTACCTTGAAAATAATAATACAAATAAAAAGACTGTCAAAAAAATAAATAATAATCATAATAAGATGTTTACCTGCTAGAGTCATTGTGCTGCTGTTTCCTGTCAAAGACACTGTGGTGAGGTAGAGTCTGTTCCTGAGGAGACACACAGGAAACACATTATTAATATTAATATTACAATAAATCCAGAATAAACAACAAACACATTATAACACGTTACTTTTCCCCGAGTTACGCTTCTCAGGCAATCACACACTTTGGCATCTCTCACAGGATCAGGAAGTAAACAACACCACAACAACAACAACAAATAAAAAGAAAACAACTGAGGAAAACATAAAACAACGTGAAGAAAGAAATGGAAAATGGGAGAAAAACACGAGATCTTAAAGTATTTATATCAAGATGTGAATATTAGTAGAGGATCTAAGAAATAGATAACATACAATATGAGTGAGAATACTCTGTAATGGACTAGTCTACTAATAAAAGTACATAAAAACAAGATATTATAAAAACTATAAAGTGTGCAAGGTAGCTACAGATTTCTAACATAAAATATAATGTTAAATATAAGTTTGGCTTTAAAGGATAAGCACTTTTTACATTTCTAATGCATCATTTAGTCAAGCTGTTCCACCGGAGCCTTGTTACTGTATTTGTTATGATTATCAATGCTATAAATATATATCCAATATTTTAAAGTTTGCATTTTTGGCTTTTTGGCTTTTGTATTTAATATAAAGTAATCTTTAATGCTTAATGTTGGTTAATGTTGCCTCTTGCTTTATTCACGTTGACTCACACCTCGGGGAGTTTCTTTAAAAAGCTGCTCCTGGTTAAGTATTCATTTACAGGTCGTGTTTGGCAGCTTCAGGAACTGAGTCATCGGTAACGAGTCGATCTGTGACTCCAGCAGATTAAAATAATTCCAATGTGTGAAAAATGAATCAGCAGCGAAGACACGACACGCTGCAGAGTTTAACCTCAGAGCAGATTCAGCCTTTACACACACACACACACACACACACACACACACACACACACACACACACACACACACACACGTGTGCGCGCGTGTGCGCGCGTGCATGTGTGTGTGCGCGCGCAGAGACTAAGAGATGATGTCATTGTAGCCAGTCAGCGCATCTCCCTCTGCAGCGCTCGAGAGCGAAACAGACGGTAAAAACTGAAGGAAATCGAACTAAAAACGTTAGAAAGACGCAGCAGCAGCAGACACAGAAACATGCGAGACGTTGAATCAGAATCTGCAGAGGACTTCATAAAGACGAGGCAAGCCTTGCATCTGTGTGTGGAGCTGCAGACACGCACAGAGGCTCTAAGAATAACGAGAGTATAATGGAAACGGGCAGATCGTGAATGTAAGTATGAGATATATGTGAAATCATGAATATAAATGTGTGCGTGTGTGCGAGTGTGTGTGTGTGTGTGTGCGTGTGTGCGTGTGCAGAGACTAAGAGATGATGTCATCGTAGCCAGTCAGCGCATCTCCCTCTGCAGAGCGAGCGGCTTTGACTGAACTGATGGTAAACACAGAGACAAGTCTAACAAAAAAAAACGCAGCAAACACAAATATCATATATATTACAACTAAATCAGAATCTGCAGATGAATTAAAAACTGAAGACGAGCGAAACCTTGCATCTGTCTGCAGAGCTGCAAACACGCATAGAGGCTTTAAAGATAACGAGAAATAAGATCAAATCGTGCAGATTGTAGAGATGTGAATGAATATAAATATGTGTGTGTGAGATGTATAAGTGTGCAGAATATAGTGTGTGTGTGTGTGTGTGTGTGTGTGTGTGTGTGTGTGTGTGCGTGCGTGTGTGTGTGTGCGCGTGTGTGTGCAGAGACTAAGAGATGATGTCATTGTAGCCAGTAAGCTGCAGAGCGAGCAGCTTTGACTGAACTGATGGTAAACACAGAGACAGAAACAACAGCAGGAACAGAAATGGAAACATTAAATCAGAATGAATTACATTCTGAAGACATCTGTCTGCAGAGCTGCAAACACGCACACAGGCTTAGAGAAATAAAGATCACAACGTGCAGATATTAGAGATGTAAGTGAATATAAATGTGTGTGTGTGAGAGAGTGTGTGTGAGAGTGTGTGTGAGAGAGTGTGTACTCACCCTGCAGTGATGCTGGTCGTCTCTGAAGCTCTGAAGATCTGCAGCTCAGCTTCAGCACCTCTCTGCTGCATGACATCACCACGCAGGCAGCTGATTGGCTGACAGGGATGCTGCGCTGTGATTGGTCCAACAGGGCAGAGGCAGGAG